CCGAGCCCCTGGGGCAACTGAGCTCACTGCACAGCCGCTCTCGGGCCTCAGGCGCACGAGGCCCCCTGGGCTCTCCCCCCAGTCAGCTCCTGAGCTGCACCCCGGGCAAGAGCCAGGAACGGGAACCAGCAGCGTTCACTCAGCGGCGGAGGCTCCTGGCTGGCCCGGCTCTGGGAGGCGGAAGAACCTCAGTGACCCTGGGTCGCAAGGGACAGTCAAGCAAGTCCCCTGGCTCCCTGCACCGACCTCAGGCGCACGAGGCCCCCTGGGCTCTCCCCCCAGTCAGCTCCTGAGCTGCACCCCGGGCAAGAGCCAGGAACGGGAACCAGCAGCGTTCACTCAGCGGCGGAGGCTCCTGGCTGGCCCGGCTCTGGGAGGCGGAAGAACCTCAGTGACCCTGGGTCGCAAGGGACAGTCAAGCAAGTCCCCTGGCTCCCTGCACCGACCCCCACGGGGCAGCGCGGACAGGAAGGATGGCGTTTCCAGAGCCCCGCCCCAAGGAGCTGGGCTAACTTGCTGCTCGCAGAGGCTGAAGGAGCCGGAGCCACGAGGCCCAGCGCTGCTCTGCCTGGGATGTCCCACCGCCGTTTGCCAGGGTGAGTCACCGCTCTGAACCCAGCAACGTGTCCCCAGACACAAGCTGCCATCGGGGGCTGCTATGGGGCAGCGCCTGCCGCTTCCATCCGCCCCACCGCTCGAGCGCCTCCGGAGATGGGAGCAGCTGGGCTGGAAGCGCCTGAGGTTTGCACAATGGGAACGAATGAGGGCCCTGGATGGGCCACGAGATGGCCTGGTGCCTGCCCCGGCCACGTGGCTCTTCTCCCTGCTGCTCCCTGACCCCCACACCGACAAGGACCAAACACTGAGCAGTACCAAGGCCTGAGGGGCAGATGTGCCCGGCTTGGCACGTGTCTAAGGGGCCCGACCGGACGTGCTCAGTGCACGGCCTCTGGGGAAAAATCCAGGGCTGTTTTAGATGCCTCAGGCTGAGCTCCCCCCAAAAACCCCCTAGTCACCTTAAAGGTTTATTGCAGGCCCCCGCCAAGGTCAGGGCTCTCCAGAGACGAGCAACGCAAACGATTAAATCTCAAGCTACACGAACGCGTCGTCCTGCAGCACCTTAGAGACCAACACCAATACACAGAGCATCACGAGATTAGTGGGCAAAACCCACTTCCTGAGGGGAGGCGGAAAGAACTGGGCTTGTTTGGTTTGGAAGGAGAAGACTGAGGGGGGGACACGATGGCAGTTTTCAGGTATCTACAAGGGTGTTACAAGGAGGAAGGAGAAAAATTGTTCCCCTTGGCCTCTGAGGGCAGGACAAGCAGCAATCGGCTTAAACTGCAGCAAGGGAGGTTTAGGTTGGACATTAGGAAAAACTTCCTGCCTGTCAGGGGGTCAAACACTGGAATAAATTGCCCAGGGGGGTTGTGGAATCCCCATAGCTGGAGATGTTGAAGAGCAGGTTGGACACAGCTGTGGGGGACGATCTAGACGGTGCTTGGTCCTGCTGTGAGGCAGGGGACTGGACTCCATGGCCTCTCGAGGGCCCTTCCAGTTCCAGTGCTCTAGGATTCTACGATGCCAGTAGCTGCTCAGACACCTGCCGAGAGGGAGAGAGCAGGGGAAGGGACCAGCCACCGAGAGCCCCCTTTTCCTTTCCCCTTCGCGCAGGCTGGCCAGTGACAAATCCCGCCCCAAGTTCAAGCCCGGGGCGTGAGCCGATGCTGCTGACCCGGGGAGGGGAGGAGGACTAGTTCTGTGCTGCGCTGCTGTTCGCTGGCTGGGTAACCGATTTCCCATTTACAGCAGCCAGATGCTTAAATCTCTCGCCCCTAAATGCTCCCACAACTAAAGCCGCGGGCGGAGGGAGAAGCCGATTAACGCTTCTAATGCTCGGATGACCCAGAAGATGAGCTGGTTTAGGCAAACCCACCCTGCCAATGGGGCCTTCCGTCACCGCTCTGGAGCCGCCCAGCTCTGCCGGCGGTGGCACGGGGGAGGGTGGCATGGGACGTGGCGCTGCCCCTGCCATGAGAGCTGGGCTCCTGGCCCACAGCCGCAGCTCTCCAGCCGCCCCGCTCCGCAGGCAATGGGGGATGAGCGTGTGTAACCAGTTAACCGATTAAACGGGATTTTGCACCCCTACTAGCAATATCCCCAATAGAACTCCCCCCGGCCCCGCACCTCCCTGTTGGGTCAGGACCCCCATTTGAGAAATACTGGTCCCGCTGTGAACCCTGTACAGGGCCAGGCGCACAGAGACCAGACTTCCAGGGGAGCCCAGATGTCACTGTCTGTGATGTGCGTTGCATGGCCATGAATTTGGAAAGGCCCCATCCAGGACCCCTGCTAAGATGAGCTCCACGGCGGGCCAATGCCCCCCCAATCTGAAATGGCACCGCTGGCTCCACCTCCTAGGGGTGACCCTCCCCACCCTGGCACTGAGGGGGACCCAAGTACCAGCCTCTCGCTTGTTTTCTCATTTACTTCCCTCTCCCCTCCCGCCTTCCAA